TCTGGACAGCATCTCCTGGGGACGATTTATCACCAACCGATTTATTATGGGTGGTCTCTGAAGGACAACCTATTGAAGCCAACATGGTTCGAAGGTCCGGCCGTACCAGAGAGCTTATTTTAAAATGTCAATAACAACCCAGAGGACATGGAGGTTGAAGGTGACAGAACATATTCCGAGTTGGAAGTACTGCGCGATTCAGATGGTGAAGCATGGAGTGATGAAGACCCTGATGTGGAGGTGGAAGACGGGGAGTTCTTGTAGGAAACAATAAATTTTATAGAATGCTACGATCCAAAGTTTGGTCTATATACAGCTCGAATATTGGCATGGTTGAGAACCTTTAATTAGACAACTTGTAATTATATATTTTTTCACTTTTTCTGGTGGTCTGCAAGGGGTAAAGTTAAGAAATCAAATGTGATAAATGACATAAAACATGATGGTTTGAACTAAATTTGATAGTTGATTATTAAAATGGCTTTTGATATACTTGAGTACTGAATGTAAATGAAGAATAAAAAATGTTTAATTACAGGATTGCTAAATTGATATAAATCAAGATATGTATATTCAATCATGTGCACTTCTCATGACGTACATTAATGCTCACTGCAAGTACATTGTGAAAAGATTGTTTAAGTTTTTCCTTTTAAATTATTTTGTTAGTGTTTTGCTGTACTGCAGTTTATGATGTTTTAATGTCTCTGTGTACGTTTTTAATCTTGCATTCAGGTTTAGTGATTGGTTGTAAGTCTGATCTGAAGTCCAATTCGTGTAGATCCAGGTTTATAGAATTTCACATTTATATGTGATAGATCACAATGAACTTGTGTTTGTGTTTTATATATTTTCTTTTGCAATCCACGTGATGGTGGCATTTTTATGCAAATACAAGTTTCAATCAGATATTTTAGAAGAGATTTTGTGATAGTATCTTTTAGTGTTGGCCAGTGGCAAAAAATGCAGCTACTGGACAAGTACTACATATTTACACTACGTTTTACTGCATACAGTAATATAGTTAACCACTTATGACAACAGAAGAAATCAACATGGTCATCCCCCCATGGAGTTATGGAGAGTCAATAAAGGACCACTGCAGACTGCAGAATCCCAATTACGTTCTCTAGACTTCTCAATGATAGCAATTAATTCTATAATCTGAAACAGCCGAGCAACCATACCACTGCAGCCATTCATGTCATGCCAGTGAGCTTTTAAAGCGTGCTGAAAATAACTATGGCACTCAGGTATTTGTGAAAAGAGTTGTATATTTTCGCCTTGCCTGCTATATTCCAGCAAAGTGCCCCCCCAAAAAACAACACGGGACTGCCTTGTTACATCGGTTGGTATCCCGACTGCAGATGTATGCAGTTTCTCACATCTTTTTTGTTAACATGGCACACGTGTCCTGGGGTAATTTGTTTTACATTTTTATCCACTCCACGTCAAAGAATTTGCGAACTGGAGTGTGTGCGAACAGAATCCCTTCATTGACGTGGTTGCTCTCCGGGTGGGCAGGGATGGGCACAATATATGCGCAATGATACACGATCTGCACGTGCATACAGCACATATCTCAGCTTGCCCGGATGCCACGTGTGCGCAATCATGCACGCAGCATCACCGCGTGTGTGCAGCTACGATTATAACTGGCGCATGAAAGAGGCTTCAGAGAGCCACAGAAACAACATCAACTGTACGTGCCACGATTGGTGCTCTCTGTGCTGATGGAAACAAAGTAATAGCAAATGCGAAACAGCGTAGTTTTGTCTAAAGGCAACGCACAAGCGTCTTGTAATCGCAGTAAATGAAGTGCAAAGTAATTGCAATATAATAGCAATTGATTGCACTAAATATCGTACAAACACCGTACGAACAAAACCGCACCATGATAACAGGTATATTTAGATATATGGCAACCACATTATAGATATCTGTAAATCCCAAACTTTAGCCTTTATGCCCGGCATATAAATTAGCCATTGGTTGTATATGTATACACATAGTGTATATCATCAAACACTAGCTTGTGAATTAAAATGTTTTGACCACCGCATATTACTCTAGAACTAAATTTATATTATTTGATAATGAAAATGACATTTTTCTATTTATAGTATTAAGAGCTAATAATACCTAATATAGGTATTATTAGCTCTTGGTAGTATTATGTTTATAATATTGACGCAGTGTATGATGTACACTTCATAAATATGTATGAACAGCCCTACAACAGTAACTGTAAAGGTATATAAATATGCAAAGGGATTGAATGACTGAAAAAAACATTCTTGTTTGCCTGTACAGGTAGCTATAGATCCTATTATCCTTCAAGAAGAGTAGCAAGACATTTTATGCAATCCATCTAAGAAGATTCCAGCAACTATTCTAATACAATTTTATCCTCCCGGCCTTGAACGTGTGCGCAATTTTATTTGTGCACTGATAATACAATAATAACAATAGCCATTAAAGTAACATAAATAATAACCAATGAGCCGAATTTACGAGACTACGAAAGTCGTATCAATGGTCTGTGTGCTCTTTAGTTCCACCTATTCTTGGTGTGAAGAATGCGAGGCCAATGGATGACCACATGGCCCTCTATCAAAACACACTGCACAGAAAAGCACTGCACACACTGCACTGCATAAAGTACTGGACTGCACAGCACCGCACAGAAAAATACTCATCTGCCAATCATCGCAGCACCGTAAAACCTACATTGGTAAACAGCATACAGTCGCACAAGCACTAGTGGCAATATGAAACACCAATGCATGTACAAATGTAACCAAGTTGTGCTATCTTCCCTGCCTTGGGTAATCACGTGGGATTCAACCATGCAATTTTACAATTACAGGTCTATTAACATAGCAAACAAAGTACTGACGTTTATTACTATTTACCACCACAAATATCATTAGACGGCTTTATATGAGCATCAGCATCACACGAGAATAATAAATGCAGTAAGGCAAAAGCCCAATTCTCGAATGCTCTTCTGTGCATTAGAGTGGATTAAATATGCATTTTATATGAATAATATTCGGTTCATGCCACCACATGATAAATCAACAGCCCAAAATAACCATAATTAGATAGCACATGTTAAACAGCCATTGGCAGACTCTCCTGTCTGACCCACTAGGTAGAATAATGTTCTTACTCCATCTCCACATCCTCTGGCTCACTGTTGTCAGTGCTGTCATGGACATGTGTATGCTTGATGAGCTTACCCTCCTCAGCTAACTGACGACGCATCTTCTCACGAGACTCAATCATAAAGACGTTCGCTTGGTGATCGACGCCATTTTTGAACTCGTTGATTCTGCAATACAAGGAGGCCACAGATGACAATAAATCATAAAAAGGTAAGTCATCAAATAAGTCCAGGATTTTTCGTTCTCGTAACTTTACAATATTTCTGTCAACGGTTTACGAGTCGAAGTTCATGTTGAGACTAATGTTAAGACTAATTTTGTTTCTGACAACGGCCCCCAGGTGTCCATTGCATACAGACAACAAATGCTACCAGAGATCTCCATGTGATTTTGTTATTGGCTGAGTGTATATCAGCTCACCTGTCAAAGATAACTCCATCCAGTCCACTCTCCTTTAGATGATTAACTTGACTGTACTCATCTACACCCCAGCCGAATAGCACTAGACCAGCATTCTTGCCCTCTTCGATTTTGTCCCACTGCGTCTCAACGTCACCCATGTACACGCACATGCCCTGTGCAACGACAAAATATATGTTAGGCCAGTTGTGTTTCAGAACGTATACAAAATACATAATGCTTTATATTCATGCTGAATATCCTACTGTGAATCAAGTTTTATCTTCGCCCATATAACGTGCACGTATATTAATTGAGCCATCAGGCCGAGTGAGAGAATCCTCTAACAAGGAGATGGGGGCACACGTACCAGTAGCTTTTCGCAGATGGAGAAGTTCACGCTCATGCTGATGCAATGCGTGCGGATGTCAGTGTAGGCGTCGGACCCAGTGGTGTCACCCATGGTAAGCAGCATAACGGGATATGTGTGCTGCTTCAACTGCATCCTGTGTAATACCCATCAGACAATGTTGAGAAACTGTGCGGTGAACCAATTGAGGGTATTCTTTTATTGTTGTCTGTTCGTAATATCAGGAGTGAATAAAAACAAATGTTTTTAATTATATTATGTATTATTTATATTAAAAAAATATAATATTTTATTATATAAATATATTTTAATTCAATCCTGATAACATATAAGGCTAAATATTTGGTCGACTGCAATCCTGTTTCATTCTGCATGTACAAATCTATACAATCTATATTATACACATATTATAGTTTCTAGAAAACACATTATGGCATTTTGCAGGCAATTGATCTGGTGGCATTCCACTTGCCTCTATGCCAAGATTAGCCTTTCTCAATAACTGTGTTACTGACAATTTATGGCCGATAAAAACCGAAAAAACGTTTCATAAAAATGTATTATTAAACACCTATCACACAGACTTCCAAATCAAAATAACCTAACCTGTCCTTTCACCCACTGAACATCCTTGATGACCAAATTGGAATTTCCTTTTTAGTTTTTAGTTTTCACTTCATATACCATAGCTTACATACCAGAATTCCCTTTTACTATATAACCCATGTCAACTGATACAGAATTTCATTTAACAGCTAATAAATACTTGATGGAAGGTTGAATACCACAACACATATATTCTGGTAAAGAGAGTTACATAACATATGTAAATATTTATACGTATATATATATTTATACGTATATAAATATGTATATATATATATGACTAAATAGACAGGTCTACGGTACATACATAATAGCAATGTCTGGCTCAAATGTAGACAAGATGATGCGACGGGTGCCTCCATGCTCCAAAACAGTCTTTAGAAGGGCGTCCGTGTACAGATTCTTCTCAAAGTATGGGACGTCTAGTTCTTTTGTACCTCCCTACAACCCGCAAGTGACACAAACATTGCCGGTTTTTAACTGTCTTAATTTTGATATCAAAAAGTGGCAGTTTCCAGTTTGCAGTTCGATTATGTTATTGTTTAAGTTCTACAGTTCACACCTCTTACTAAGTTGGAAAATTGGGCTAACAAAACTGAGAACCTACCACTGTCTCCATAGGGTATTTAACTTCAATATTGAAGCCAACGTGAATGTTGACACGTTTAAGCGTCTCTTCTAGAGTTGCAAAGGAGCAGTTGTCATCATGGAAATCAATGTCGTTACTTCCATCACTACAGCCTGAGGTCAGTGATATGTTCTCTGCTGAAATAGGTTGGCAAATACTTTTTACAATAATAACAATAATAATTTATTAACGTATACTCTGCAACTTGCATGAAAATCATCACATGCGAATTACAAATGGCAATTATAAAATGTATTAAAATGTTTCAAGCAATTCCCTAAGAAATTAAGAAATGTAATTATAGCTCATAACCTCTGGTGTTGACGGCCACCCATTCACCACATTGAGCTGTAAAAACAGACGTTAACATCCCAATGCTCCTTCAATACCACCACCACCACCACCAGCACCAGCAGCAGCAGCAGCATGCCTGGGAAACTTTCTTATGTAGGGAGAATAAAATTCATAGACATGCAAACGTTTGTCCATTTTATGTTGTTTTGCATCATGTTTGATCAACGCTGTGTTAGGTTACAGTGGCTAGTAATACATACAATATATACATTGGAAGTACTTTTGTGTACACATTGATTTGACCACAAGTAAAGAAATAGTGCAGTGCGATCGTCAGGAAGGGAGTATAAACGTTGCCTTGCATATTTGGTGTACCGTAATCATGTTTGCATCATATGCACAATTACATTATAAGGCATCTGTTATTAAACCATGACTCGAAGTTAGTAACTTGATCA